ACCTGTCCCCACCGGGATCTGCCCGAGGAATCCCCCCGGCTCTGCACCGGGATCTGCCAGAGGGAGCCCCCCAGTTCCCCCCAGCCCCCCCCAGGTCACCCCAGCCGGGCAGACCCGCCGCTCCGCACCCCGACAGGGCCGGGATTGGGGACAAACCGCCTTCCCGGCCGCAGGAAGGGCCCCCCGAGCTCCGGTTCTGCTCTGACCGCGCTGCCCAGGAGCCCCCGTCCCTGCCGGGAGCGGCGATGGAAGGATCCTGCCCCGGGGGAGCGGCCCCCGGCGGGGCTGCCAGCGACCTGGGCACTCCGGAGGTGCTGCAGGAGCAGGCGTGGGTGGCAAAGCTCAGCGAGCTGGAGGAAGCCAAGCAGGAGCTCCAGGAGGAGCTGGAGAGAGCCAAGTACGACTGCAGCATTGCCACAGGTACCTGGGGGTGTCCAGAACAGCCTGTTCCCCTCCCTACCGGCTGCGGCCTCTTGCAGTTCTGCTGCTGTCCCAGGTTAGGTCCTCATGAGCACAAAACCTCCTGCTTTCGAGTGCTGCTTGCAGAGAGAGGCTGAACTGCTGCTTGTTCTGAAACCACTCTCACCCGTGAGAAACCCACGCAGGGAAAGCCCCAGGCAGTGTTCTGGGGCATCCAGCAGTGTTTCAGCACGCTGGGAAACCCCTGCTTGTTCTTCTGACTCTGTGAGTCCTCAGAGTGGCTCCTACCTCACACTGAAGTTAGTTTAACATGTATCACAGCAAAGTACCACAGAATGTGTCACCAGCTGTGGCTGCAGCACTAACTTCACCCACTCTCTACACTCCCAACAGTCACACCAGCAGCTCTGCTTGTGCTGAGCTGAAGAAAGGAGCCACGAGGCTTTTGCCAGGGATTCAGTTTGCCTAACAGTAGCACTCCCACCTTACAGGTACCATCTCTTCCCTGCAAAGACAACTGGAGAGCCAAGAATCCCAGCTTCGGAGAATGCAATCTGAGAAGGAAATGCTCCAGAAGCAGCTCAGAGAGCGACAAAACCAGCTGGGAGCCATGTCTGCCAAGGTACTGCCCGGGGAGCAGGGCTGCTGGGAGGGCTGGCAGGGAGGAATCTGGGCAGCAGTTCCCTCTCAGAGCCAGGAGGGGCACTTGGGAACTGCAGAACTGAAGCGTGAAGTGTTTTCTCTTTAAGTTTTGCAGCCTGAGAGAAGAACGGAAACATGAAGAAACGCTGGTGGCAATGGAGAAGGAGAACTGCAGCCTTCGGCAGGTAAAGCCACCACAGAGATTCTCGTGTCAGCTGCTTAGTTGTGTTTGGCTTATGCTTAGGGGAGTTGGCAGAACGAAATCCTACTCAATCCAGTAGTTTTTGAGAAAAACCAAGTAATGACAATGACAAAGTACTGACACGGGTTGTTAGTCTGCAGACTCTGCCCAGGAAACATAAGAAGCGTTTGGCCCAGACACCAGGAAGGTGCCCCAAGCCTGCTCACGTTCTTCCTCACAGTAATGGCTTGGTTTGTGCACCTCCTCAGGTTGTTGCAGAACAAGAATCCAAACTGGCTGAGCAGAACCAGCTGATCACCAAGCTACAGGAGACAGTCAGCCAGCTGCAGGCAGAGATTCTGAGCAGCCAACGCCGCATCCACCAGCAGCAACAGGCCCAGGAGATGATCCAGAGCCAGACCGAGGCACTGGAGCACAGGGAGATGCAAACCAGCGTGGCACTGCAACGCGCAAACTGCAAGGTAAGTGTGGCCTCCTTCACTTCAGCCTCACCTCCCTCTGGGAGGCACTGCAACCATTTCAAGCAGAGAATCTGAAAGCTTAGACACATTCTTGGGCAGAAGCACAGTGGGAGCTGCAGCAGGGCCCTGCAGCCCTTTGCTCTGGGGCCAGGGGAGCAGGAAACTCAGTTATTTGCTTCCCAGCTTTTTTAGCATGCAGCTCTTGTGTCACTTATAAAGCAAACAGCCCTCAAATACCAGAAGCCCTTGAGAAACTCGAGCTCAGAACAGTTACATCACCCAATTGCTAATATCCTTCTAGATTCAAGGTAACAGGTCTCAACTTAAAGCCATTTCCTGCAGGTGTTCATGTCTGGTGACAAGCACAGAGCCTGATACCAGGGAAAGGGAATCAGTCCACCCACCATCACTATCACAGACCAGGCACTGAAGCCCAGTCAGACTGCTCATAATCTCATACTTTTCACCTCATCCTTCCCTCCTACTCTGCTTAAGTTTGATAACAGTCTGGGCAAACCCATGCAAAGACTTAACACACCTATTTCTTTCCTCTTTTATCAAAAGTTTGAACGATTCCGAAGCAAAGTAATCCAGGCAACGTTCAGCGCACCAAGCAGCGAACCCCCCCAGGCAGAGCTCACAGACGAGGAGCTGCTGGAGGCAATGCAGGTACTCTCTGGAACTCTGCTTCCAGCAGCCAGCAAGGGGCTGATGAGCTAAGAGCAGACTTTGCAGTGCTGCTCCCCACCTAGTGCTTTCCCACGCTTCAACACATCCCTACCATTTCAGAAAATAGTTCAGGAATGGGGGGAGTTCCAGCAGGCAAGGAAACGGAGCAGCGTCACAGTCCCATCCCTCCTCTCCACCAGCACTATTTCATTGCCCAGCAGTGCAAGGGCAAGGAGGAGGAGCCATGTCATGTAGCAGCCCTGCACACCCAGAGGCACCTCCAGGGGCTGTCAACCAATGCCAGGCTCCTGTTCTGTGGTTTTCAGATGGTGACTTCCTAACAAATTAAACTCACTGTACCAAAATCAAGGTCTGCAGGGGATCTCTAATTCAGTTGTTCCCACTGACTCAGAGCACAATTCACTGTACTTCTGTGGTCTGCACAGACATTTGACTCCACAGGGAAGCCTGAAGCAGCACCGGGGGCTGCCTGGCTACAATTAGCTAGAAAGTGTGAAGTTACCTTCTTCCAGTACCCAGAGCTGCTCCAGCAAGTTTGTGTGGTTACACCACTGGAAAATTCACCAATGCCAAAACTCCTCACAGTCACATGTCAAACCAAAGTATGGTTTATTTTTCCATTCAATGGGCAGGTCCCAACACATGGACACGTTTGACACAGTATCTGGAAGTTCAGTTAAGAGTTCTATAGCATTTTTAACCAAAAACAGTGAATCTGGAAGTCACCCTGGCTTATGGAGAGGTTTGCATTCATGCAGGTAGGAGCCTGGATCCACAGGTCACCCACAGGCTGCAAGAATCAGAACCACTCAGACCACCTGTACTTTGGAAGGTGTCCCCAACACTCCTCATGTAGGAGTGTGACAGAAAGCCATGCTGAGCAAGAGTGTTTGTGTCCTGGGGAGCCAGGGAGCTCTGGCAGTGTCACTGGGAGGCAGCATTAGCCCTCTGAACTGAACCAAACCTCATGAGCAGTAATAAATTCAGTGCTTGGCCAACAGTAACTCAACAGGCACACCACGAGGTCACTACAACTGATATTTCCACAAGGATGGACAATGGCTCTAAAATGTACTGGGACACACAAACCCCTGCAGTCAATTCAACTGACTTTACTTAAAAATGGAAGCTGTGTTGTCTGAACACAGAAAGCATCATTTTTAAACTCATTCCTCAAGTCCCAACAGCAATTACATTTTCACAATTACTCCAGATATAAAGCCAAATTGATACAGAGATGTCAGCAAAGTAGTTCTGCATCCTGTCCTCAGCACTGGTACCCAGCACTTGACTTTGTTTCAGTGCTGTCACCTACTGGTTTTATCAGTTTAGCTGCCAAAAAAAATAATCCAGCTGAAACAGATCAGGAAGAAACTTGCAGAAAACAGGACTGCACTCATTTCATAAATGCTAAGAGGTCATTGTGATTTTCTCTACAAGTTAATCTGTTCTGCCTTCCAATACCTTCTCTGCCTTTAAGGGCACATTTGAAAATGCTGTTATCCCTGCCTAGTCAGAACACTGATCACTTCCTGTTAAGGCTGGAAGAATGAAATACTCTTGCTAGAACTTGATGAAACTGGACAGTTTTTACATACCCAGGCACTGCATCTTTGCTTTAAAAGAAGCAGCCACCTACCTCACTGTGGGCCAGCTGCACTGCTGAGCATGGAAAAAAAACAGTAAAGAAAATGGAAGAGTTTTCTTAGCTTCAACAGCTGCTAACGTATGACAGTCAGAAGAGAAGAGACTGTCACTAGGTCAGTTTTTGAAGGATAAAGTACTTTCAAGTTTCCATCTGTGTCCACCACTCGAACCTGCTCCACTACCAAGGGCACGTTCCTGGGCTGTGTGTTTTGGCTGGGGTTCCAAGTCCCTGGTCCACCAAGAGCATCAGATTCGTTATCAGAGCCTGAGTCTTCCTTATTTTCCAAGGTAACTCTGTTCAGTTCTGCAATTTTCTGTTAAAATCAAACCAGAGAAAACAAGATTAATTCTGTGGAAAGTCAAACCATGTTTACCCTGGTGAGTTTTGAGGTCTGCCAGTTCATAAGAATACAGAAATATAAAAACCTTTTGTGATACAGCAAGTATGGAAGAGTAAGTGAAGGAGAGAGAATACAACTAAAATAAAAATCAACCTCTGTATTGTTCTCAATACATGTGGGCAATCAAACATTTCACTGAGAAGCACACAAAGGACAGGATTATTTTACTCAACTTCTTACCAGAATTAGTGTGTCCATGACATCTTTGCATATCTGTAAACTGGTATCACTTGTCACTTCCAGAAATAGATCACGGGTGTCTTTTTTGATCTGTGAGAATTTGACAGGTAAAGCAAGTCATTTGGCAACATTTCAACACCCAGACTGAATGAAAGGCTTTCATTTAACCCAAGCAGACAAAGTACTGCTGTTCTGAAGTAAAAAAACACATTCTTGTCCTTCAATGAAGCCACCTCTGCAAAGACAGGCTGATGTGTTTGGCACAGCTTGCCAGAGCTCCACAGATCTACAGAGGTAAAAATGTAACTCCAAGATCCACCTCTAACAGGCAGCAGAGAAGATTCAGGCTTTGAAGATTCATGCTTGGAGCAAAATCACAAGTTTCAGAACTGCACATATCTTTGAGTCTGGAGTCAAGTACCTCTCAGTAGGAAGAAACACAGTGGAAAGATGATAATCAAATTAAACAAACAGGTATTACCTTTGTTTTTTCACTATTGGTTATTGGTGGGAAAGAAATCACAACCCCTTCAGCATCCACAAGACACGGGTAGTTATCTTTGCCATCCAGTAACCGGAGATACCTGCCAAGAGAAACAAAGACACAAAAAGTAAGCAACTGACAGAGCAGCTGCACACCATGGCAGAAAACCCTGACAAAAGCAAGTGAGTGTGTTCCTGATCTACCATGCAGCAAAACCAGGAGTGGGAGCAGTAACATTGAGCCACCCAGTGGGATGATGGTGGCCTGGGGAAAGGCACCAGCTGCAGATAGAACCATAACTCCCAATTTAATACCCACACTGCTGAAACAGGCAGACATGCTTCCAGTGCTCTGAGATCCCAGTGCTCTGCAGCAACATCAGAATCCTCACTCTGATGCTTCCAGGCAGCTTCCTTCACTTTCCTCTTCCTATGGCAACATACAGCTCTCCCATCATGTACTTGGCCCCATCACCACCACAGCACAGGCTTTTTAACGTATTCAAAAATGTTTCCTTCAGAGCTGTTTTCCCATACAAACATGAGCTACCAAAACCCACATGAAGAAAAACACCAGAGATCAGACACTGACTTGTGCAGCCCAGACACGTTCTGGCGCTTCTTCTGCTTCCTCTGCTCCTCAGCTTCCAGCTGCAGCTGCCGGAGAAGGTCCTTTGCCTTGAGCTCCTTTCGACCCAAGGGTGTTATCTGCACCACACAAGAAAACACTGGAGTTCAGGAGTGACTCAAACACTGGGACTATTAAAACTCTCCTGTAAACACATCAATAATTGAAACCATATTTCTGATTGCCATCATTCCCAATGTCTAACTCAGTATAGAAACACACTCTGTGTTTAACACACATGATCACACTGAGTTTAAACCTTCATGTGAGCTACAATACCCACCTGAAAAACAGGCTCACCCACTTGCACCAATCAGTTTTCTCAGTCAGTTCCTTCACTGTCATTACCAACTGAGTAATGTGAAAACCTGCTGTCTAGTAACAGAAGCCATGAACAAAAGGCTCTGTAAACCACTGGGAAAACAAAGAATTCCCTCCTGAGGACCAGGCCATGTGCACAGATCAGCTACAAACACAAGGTGTCTAGAATGCAACAGGACAGCAAAAAAAAGCTTCATTATCAAAATTCTGGGAGTTAGTTTTCTAAGATCTGCAGGGTAAGAACAACTTTCCGTTCAACACGGTTCCAGAAAAAAAGGAAAAAAGTGGAAAGGCCACCAGTGCCACTGGCCCTACCTTCAGTTCATCAGGAGGCTGAACATCATACACCAGAGGACCTTTGATCAGCTGCAAGTCGTGGGTGGCAATCGTGGCTGCTGTTCGCTTCTCACAAACGTCTTCGTGCAGTTTCGTCTAAAGCATAAATAACACCATCAAAACACACCAAAAACATCAACTCAGTTTACTCCTCACAGGGCTCAGCACTCCGATGTGCATCACGTAGCACTGGCAGCTAGCTGAGTAACATTTTGGCCATGAAACATTCTGGCCATGGCTCTTCTCTCCAGCTGTGAAATGATTCTCTCTGGATTACCACCCAAAAGCAGAGACAGGGAAGCACAGCACGTGACAGTTCTCAGATGGGAGATAAACAGTTTTAAGTGAGGAAATAACCACAAATCCACGAGGAGAAACCAACACCTGCCATCTAATGGACAAGAGGCTTGCAGGGGAAAGCCTGTGGCTGCCGTGCCTGGGCTGGAAGGTGGGACACCATGAGGAAACCTGGAGCCCAACCAGAGCACTTCGAACACGGGCAAAGGTTTGTGATTACTTCCCAACAGGCTCCACAGCAGCACCAAGCTGCTGTGACAGAGCCCACACAAACACACACGCCTCCGCTGCCCTCTCACGGGAACAGCCAAGCTCCCAGGAATCTCTCCAGCTCTGGCCAGCACGGGGGAGCTGCTGGGGGAGGACAAGCTGCCCCGCTGAGCCCACCCGGCCAGGAGCAGGTACCTGCAGGGACAGGAACCTCTTCAGCGCGTTTCCCGGGCTCAGCTCCACTCCCCTGAGCACGCAGCACACGATGAAGGGCCGGACATCCCTGACACCCAAGCTGGCTTTGACCACCACGGGGGCCGGGTTCTCGGAGACGTGCAGCACCTTCACCAGCAGCTTGCTGGCCTCCTCCAGCTCGTCCTGCTCCCCGTCCCCGCTCTCCTTCCTCTGCTGCTTCTCCCTCTTCTTCTTCCTGGCCTCCTCCCGGGCACCTTCCCGGCCCTTCCCGCGGCTCCCGGCCCTCAGGTACTCCAGGACGGCCTT